ATTTCTTTATAATTCTGTTGAATTCTACAGAATAAATTTGAAGACTACTACCTGCTTACTATTTCGTAATGGAATAAAAGATAAACACCAAGGACAAACACTCACAATGGTAAATAATCTTTAGATAATAAATAGCCGGTACCAAAAAACATATGAGTATGCAAAAATGTAGATGTTTCTATACAGCTAAATAAATTTTTTAAAATAGTAGTAGAAAATAATAACAAAGACATTTCATCATTTCAAGCTTTGAAATCTGGAAATTCAAAAAAGTTTCGGTGGCAGTTACGTATAACAGGCAGTAACAACAGCAGGTCTTGCTTTGGATTAACTTTTATTTGGGATATAATTAATTTGGGACTCCAGGGTACTGTTTTTCAATATGATGTTTCAGGCCGGGCGCGGTGGCTCACGCCTGTAATCCCAGCACTTTGGGAGGCCGAGGCGGGTGGATCACAAGGTCAGGAGATCGAGACCATGGTGAAACCCTGTCTCTACTAAAAAATAGAAAAAAATTAGCCGGGCGCAGTGGCGGGCGCCTGTAGTCCCAGCTACTCGGGAGGCTGAGGCAGGAGAATGGCGGGAACCCGGGAGGCAGAGCTTGCTGTGAGCCGAGATTGCGCCACTGCACTCCAGCCTGGGCGACAGAGCGAGACTCCGTCTCAAAAAAAAATAAAAATAAAAAAATAAAAAAAATATGATGTTTCAGAGCCATGTTAAAAAAAGTTGGAGAGGGGGGCTAGAGATAATAACTGAGAGCCTTTTACAAAGACCTGATGGTTGATTGTATTTCCACCATCTTCTTCTTCCACTGTTATTGCCTGAGGTTTACTCTGGCTCCCTTGGATAAAGAAGGTGTTTGCTCCATGGTCTTCAGGCTCACAGATTTAACCTATCCAAAGCATCAGATGTGCAATGTCCAAGATATTTTTCAACGCAAAATCATTTTACTTCACTACACGTCTTTACTCCACAACATAAATTGCCTCTTTGATATTTGCTTGATTAGAAACAACATTGAAATGTATTTAAATACTCTGACACTTTATATTTCTCCAAATGCATTCCTTGCGGTGCTCCCTGCTTCACACAGCTACATCCTGAGTTCTGCCCGTCTTGAACTGGGCTAAGTCAAATATTTCTTTTGATTTTTAAAAAATTTTATTTTATTTTAGGTTCCAGGATACATGTGTAGAACATGCAGGCTTGTTACATAGGTAAATGTGTGCCATGGTGGTTTGCTGCACCCATCAAACTGTCACCTAGATATTAAGCCTCACACGCATTAAGTATTAGTCCTGATGCTCTCTGTCCCCTCAACCCCCTTAACAGGCCCCAGGGTGTGTTGTCCCCCCAACCCCTGTGTCCATGTGTTCCAACTGTTCAGCTCCCAGCTATGAGTGAGAACATGTGATGTTTTGTTTTCAGTTCCTGGTTTAGTTTGCTAAGAATGAATTATTAGCATTATGAATTTATGCTAAAGAATAATTGCTAAAAATAATTCATTATGATTTTAGTTTGCTAAGAATAAGAATTATTCATTCTTAGCAAACTAAAACAGCTTCGTTCATGTCCCCTCCTCCTCTTTTATGACTGCATAGTTTTCCATGTTGTATATGTGCCACATTTTCTTTATGAGATGGTATCTCATTGTGCTTTTGATGTGCATTTCTCTAATGATCAGTGATGTTGAACTTTTTTAATAGATATGTTGGACACATATATGTCTTCTTTGAGAAGTGTCTGTTCATGTCCTTTGCCTACTTTTTGATGGGGTTGTTTTTTTCTTATACATTTGTTTAAGTTCCTTATAAATTCTGGATATTAGAGCTTTGTCAGATGGGTAGATTCCAAAATTTTTCTCCCATTCTATAGGTTGCCTGTCTGCTCTGATGATAGTTTATTTTGCTGTGCAGAAGCCCTTTAGTTTATTTTTCAATTTTAGCTCTTATTGCAATTGCTTTTGGAGATTTTATCATAAAATCTTTGCCCATGCCTATTTCCTGAATGGTATTGCCTAGATTTTCTTCTAGGGTTTTTATGATTTGGAATTTTACATTTAAGTCTTTAATCCACCTTGAGCTAATTTTTGTATAAGGTGTAAGACAAAGGTCCAGTTTCAGTTTTCTACATATGGCTAACCAGTTTTCCCAGCACCATTTACTAAATAGGGTATCCTTTCCCCGTTGCCTGTTTTTGTCAGGTTTGTCAAAAATCAGATGGTTGTAGATGTCAGGTCTTATTTCTGAGATCTCTATTCTGTTCTATTGGTCTGTGTGTCTGTTTTGGTACCAGTACCATGCTGTTCTGGTTCCTGTAGCCTTGGAGTAAAGTTTGACGTCGGGTAGTGTGATGCCTCCAGCTTTGTTCTTTTTGCTTAGGGTTGACTTGGCTATATGGTCTTTTTTTTTTTTTTTTTTTTTTTTTTGGTTCCATAGGAATTTCAAAGTAGATTTTTCTAATTTTGTGAAAAATGTCAGTGGTAATGGCATACATTGAGCAGTATAGCCATTTTCATGCTATTGATTCTTCCCGTCCATTACCATAGAATATTTTTCCATTTGTTAGTGTCTTCTCTTATTTCCTTGAGTAGTGGTTTGCATTTCTCCTTGAAGGGGTCCTTCACATCCTTTGTTAGCTGTATTCCTAAGTATTTTATTCTTTGTAGCAACTGTAAATGGAAGTTCATTCATGAGTTGGCTCTCTGCTTGTCTATTGTTGGTGTATAGGAATGCTTGTAATTTTTGGATATTTATTTTGTATCCTGAGATATTGTTGAAATTGCTTATCAGCTTACAGAGCTTTTGGACTGAGACAATGGGGTTTTCTAGGCATATGATTATTTCATCTGCAAACAGAGAAAATTTGACTACCTCTCTTCTTATTTGAATGCACTTTGTTTCTTTCTCTTGCCTGAATGCCCTGACCATAACTTCCAATACTATGTTGAATAGGAGTGGTGAGAGAGGGCATCTACTGAACTCTCCAGTACAAAATAACAGAATATACATTTTTCTCAGTGCTACATAGCACCCACATAGCACTTACTCTAGATTACATAATTGGTAATAAAGCACTCCTCAACAAATGCAAAAGAGCTGAAATCATACCAAACAGTCTCTCAGACCAAAGCATAATCAAACTACAACTGAAGACCAAGAAACTCACTCAAAACCACACAACTACATAGAAATTGAACAACCTGCTCCCAGATGACTCCTGGGTAAATAATTAAATTAAGACAGAAATCAAGGAGTTCTTTGAAACCAATGAGAACAAAGTTGTAGCAAAAAGTGTAGCAACAAAAATATAGCAAAATCTCTGGGATGCAGCCAAAGCAGTGTTAAGAGGGAAACTTATAGCACTAAATGCCCACATCAGAAAGTAAGAAAGATCTCAAATTGACACCCTAACACCACAACTAAAAGAACTAGGGAAGCATATGCAAACAAATCCAAAGGCTATCAGAAGACAAGAAATAACTAAGATCAGAGTGGAACTGAAAGAGATAGACACACAAAAAAAAATCATTGAAAAAAAATCAATGAATCCAAGAGTTGGTTTTTGAAAAAAATTAAAATAGACTGCTGGCTAGATTAATAAAGAAGAAAAGAAAGAATAATCAGATAGACACAATAAAAAATGATATCATTTTTTTAACCACTGACCCCATAGAAATACAAACTACCATCTGAGAATGCTATTAACACTCTGTGCAAAAAACTAGAAAATCTAGAAAAAATGGATAAATTCATGGACACATACACACTCCTAAGACTAAATCAGGAAGAAATTGAATCCTTGAATAGATCAGTAAGAAGTTCTGAAATTGAGGCAGTACTAAATGGCCTACCAACCAAAAAAAGCCCAGGACCAGATGGATTCACAACCTAATTCTACCAGAGGTACAAAGAGGAGCTGGTACCATTCTTCTGAAACTATTCCAAACAATTGAAAAAGGGGGACTTCTTTCTAACTCATTTATGAGGCCAGCATCACCCTGATACCAAAACGTGTCAGAGACATAACGAAAAGAAAACACTTCAGGCTAATATCCCTGGTGAATATTGAGGCAAAAATTCTCAGTAAAATACTAGCAAACCGAATCCAGAAGCACATCAAAAATATTATCCACCACGATCAAGTTGGCTTCATCCCTGGTTCAACATACACTAAGCAATAAACATAATTCATCACATAAACAACCAATGACAACAACCACATGATTATCTCAATAGACATAGAAAAGGCCTTAGATAAAATTCAACATCCCTTCATGTTAAAAACTCTCAATAGCCGGGCACGGTGGCTCATTCCTGTAATCCCAGCACTCTGGGAGGCTGAGGTGGGCAGATCACCTGAGATCAGGATCAGACCAGCCTGACCAACATAGTGAAACCCCATCTCTACTAAAATACAAAAACTAGCCGGGTGTAGTGGCAGGTGCCTGTAATCTCAGCTACTTGGGAGGCTGAGGTGGGCAAATCGCTTGAAACCAGGAGGCAGAGGTTGCAGTGAGCCAAGATCACGCCGTTGCACCCCAGCGTGTCAACAAAGCGAGACTCTGTCTCAAAAACAAAACAAAACAAAACAAAAAAACTCCCAATAAACTAGGTATTGATGGAACATATATCAAATTAATAAGAACTATTTATGACAAACTCATAGCCAATGTCATACTGAATGAGCAAAACCTGGAAGCATTCCCCCTGAAAACCGGCACAAAATGAGCCACGTATTTCATACAGTTGAGCCTTTCCTCGCTGTGGTAGAACATGCCCTGTAAGTCTGCAAAGTAGCACATTGCAGTGAAGCTTTTAAAGACCGTGAAAGGGTTTTCTTTTGTCCCTAAATGTTTATCTGATTTGATTTATAACACTTTATTGTAAAAAGAAAAAATCAATTTTTTAAAAAATACAAAGGTTTTTGAATGTCCTCACTACAAAAAAAAAAAAAGATAAATGCATGAGGTAATGGTCACACTAAATACCCTGATTTGATCATTATGCGAAATATGTTTTGAAATGTCAAAATGTGCCCCCATAGATATGTAAAACTTTAATGTAAATTAAAAATAGAAACAAAACAAGCAAATAAACTAGGAAAAAATGCAGCTTCTTTTCCACACAGAATTGGAAGAAAAAATTATTCTCAGAAGGTAAGTGGACAATTTATTCTTCCTTAGAAGAATAATGGGTGTTTTGATTAAGTAAGACAAGACTTCAAGACTTGGTCTGAGATGGAAAAGTTAAAACATAGAGTACTATACCCTTCTCTGAATTAAAGTGTACAGGTATCCCCAAGGAGTAATGTCATTGATCTCATATCATCCTTCACTGGGCTGCAGGTAGGATAGTAGGAAAAAAAAAAACCATGAGAACGGGAATTCCATTGTTGATGAGACTACTAACCTGGAGAAATATTAGGACAGAAGGAGAAAAAAATTTTGTAAGGAATTTTCTTTTATGAGATATGATCCTAAAATTTAGCAATAGAAGCATATAATGATTTTTCTCCTAGGTTTTCTATTGAGTGTACTTGTGGGTAAGTTGGGAAGCTCTTATACACTTCAGCATTCTTGTCTGTAAAGTAAATGTCCAAATGTACTCCATGTATACTCTGTGAAAGTTGAATGAGGAAATAATTGTAAAAGCAATGGACTAATTCACATGATTTACCATGACTAAAGCAAGGTAACTGAAGGTTGGTGAGAAGGCCTTATGCATACATATAAACTGACCAGTAGAGTATGTCACAGTATGTATTTGAAAACTGAATTGATAAATAAGCTTGTACCTTCTCTGGAATTCTCAGACAAGGCAAATTATCCAGAATGGTGTGGGAAAACCAGACCTTCAACTCCATCTTCATCCTGCTGGGACTCTTCAATCACAGCCCCACCCACACCTTCCTTTTTTCTCTGGTCCTGGGCATCTTCTCAGTGGCTTTCATGGAAAATATTGCCATGGTTCTCCTCATCTACTTAGACAAACAGCTCCACACCCCCATGTACTTCCTCCTCAGTCAACTGTCCCTCATGGACCTCATGCTCATCTGCACCACTCTACCCAAGATGGCCTTCAGCTACTTGTCTGGGAAGCAATCTATCTCTCTGCCAGGTTGTGGAACTCAGATATTCTTCTATGTGTCCCTGCTTGGAGCTGAATGTTTCTTGTTGGCTGTCATGGCTTACGACCGCTATGTGGCTATATGTCACCCTCTTCGGTACACCATCCTCATGAATCCCAAACTCTGTGTCTTCATGACTGTTGCTTCCTGGATCTTGGGGTCCCTTGATGGGATTATAGTGCTTGCAGCTGTCCTGTCATTTTCTTACTGTGGCTCTCTGGAAATTCATCACTTTTTCTGTGATGTTGCTGCCCTTTTACCTCTATCCTGCACAGAAACATCTGCATTTGAAAGACTACTTTTCATTTGTTGTGTGGTAATGCTAATCCTTCCAGTTTCAGTTATCATACTTTCCTATTCCCGTGTCCTTCGAGCCGTCATCCACATGGGCTCTGGGGAAAGTCGCCGCAAGGCCTTCACTACCTGCTCCTCCCACCTGTCTGTGGTCGGACTCTACTACGGTGCTGCTATGTTCATGTACATGAGACCAGCTTCTAAACATACACCAGACCAGGACAAGATGGTGTCGGCATTCTACACTATTCTCACCCCTATGCTGAACCCTCTCATTTACAGCCTCCGCAACAAAGAAGTGTTCAGGGCACTACAGAAGGTACTGAAGAAAAGGAAGTTAATATGACTTTATCAAAATCTTTTTGAGTGCCTTCTGTGGTCAACACTCATTCAAAAAAAAATGGAAATGGAATCTCTTACATTATTCTATTTCTGGTAATTTGTATTAATATTTTTCCACTTTTCAAAATTATTTAGCATATTATTACATATATGTCATTTGTAAACTAAGCTAGATTTGGATGTTAGTATAAGTGGCTTAATCCCTGTGAATGATAATTATATTATTAGGTGTCATCCATGGGTGGTACTTGATTTTAGGATGCTTACTTTTGAAGCCAGGTATTAGTCTGAAGTGTCTTACCTGTATCAGAAAGCAAAGGTTGGAGTTGATTCTCTGTTTTTGGAGAGATGCTGCTTTGTTCACACGTTACTTCCCTATTAGTACTTGTTTTTAGTTTTACCAATCCTCAAACCCAAGAATGACTATTTTAATACTGTTTCTTCTCTCCTTGATTCCCAAGTATTTAAAAGTGGGGAGTTAGTGTCAACACTTTCTTCAATCAAGTTTTATGTCCGTTTAAAATATTTTCTAGAAACTCACATATACATACACACACTTAAATATATATGTGTATGATCTTTATACTAATAAAATTAAATATTTTAATGAGCCCACATAACATATCTATTTGGTTGGGCTGCACAGTCAGCATCTGTATCATGTCTGCTTTTATTCCTTATAATCCTTATATTAACCATCAGAATCTGAAGGCAGAGCAAGATGGTGGAATAGAAGGCTCCACTGATCGTTCACATGCAAGGACAGCAATTTAACAATAATCTACACACAAACAACACATTCATGAGAACCAAAAATCAGGTGAGCCCTTGTAGTATCTGATTTTAACTTTATATCACTGATGAAGAGGCATCGAAGAGGTAGGAAAAACAACTTTAACAGACAATGCCACCCATCCCTCACCACTGACGGCAGCAACAGGGTGCTAAGAGTGTCTCTGGGCTCTGGTGAGGAAGAACACAACAATTGTGAGGGGTTGAGCTCAGTGCTGTCCTTTAAGAGCAGAAAGGAAAACCAGGTAAAGTTCAGATGATGCCTGGCCACAGACAGAGCATTTAAACCAGCCCTTGTCAGAGGGGAATTACCGATCCCGGTGGTCAAAACCTGTGTTCCCACAGACCTTGACACTGAAGGCTAAAATGGGCTGAGGCTCTAAGTAAACTTAAAAGGTAGTCTGTGCCTTAAGTAACAACTCTTAGGTGAGTCCTAGTGCTGAACTGGTTCCACAGATAGTGGACTGTGCAGGGGGCACATGAACTACTGAGACACCAGCTGGGACAACTAAGGTTGTGCTGGCATCACCCTTGCCTAACCTCAGGCTGCACAGCTCATGGCTCCAAAAGAGTTCTTCCACTTGAGAAGAGAAGAGGAAAGAGTGGAGAGGACTTTGTCTTGCATTTTGGATACCAGTTTAGCCACAGCAAGATAATGCACTGGTCAAAGCTGTGAGGCCCTTATTCCAGGACCTCCCTCCCAGACAACATTTCTCTGTACACCCTGGGCAAGAAGGGAACCCATTTCCTTGGAGAAAAGACACCAGTACTGCTAGCATGCATTGCCTAACTGAAGAGCCCTTGGGCCCTAAATAACCAGCAGTGATATCCAGGTATTATAGCGAGGGCCGTGGGAAAGACTCTGCTGGCTTCAAGTGAGACTCAGCTCATTTCCAGCTGTAGTGGCTACAGGGCAAAACTCTGTCTGCTTGAGAAAAACAAAAAAGAAAAGGGGACTTTCCTTTGCACTTTAGGCACCAGCTCAGCCACAGGGGGCGGGGTGGGTGGTGGTGGGGAGAGGGGGGTGCAGGTAGTTCACCAGGCAGGTCCTTGAGGTTTCGGATTGAGGGAATTACTCTTTGATGGCATTTCTGGACCCACCCTGGGCCAGAGGGGAGCCCACTGCCCTGAAGGATTAAACAGTGTTCACTGCAAGCTGACTGAAGAGCCCTTGGGTCCTAAGGGAATATCAGCAGTAACCTGGAAATACCTCCCAAGGGCCTGTGGTGGTGGCCATGAGATGAGGTTCCTCTTCATGTGGAAAGGGAAGGAGAAAGTGGGAAAAACTGCTTCTTGTGGTTTGAATGCCAACTTAGCTGCAGTGCAATGGAATACCAGGTAGACTTCTAAGGTTTCTGACTCCAGTCCCTGTCTCCAGGATGGCACTCTTGACACAACTTGTGGCCAGTGTGAACTTGTGACCTTGAAGGGAGGGACACAAGTCTGACAGACTTAGCCAGATATTGATGGTAGAGCTCCAGGGCCTTGAGAAAATACAGGCAGTAGCCAGGTGGTTACACCAGACCTTAGGTTAGACCCAGGGCCGTGTTTAATTCAGGGCTGACCCACAGTCTCAGTAGTGTTGGTCACCTGGGTGCTTATATCTGTCCACCCTCAGCTCCAGGTGGCTCAGAACAGAGAGAGACTCCATTTTGGGAGGAGAAAGTAAGGGAAGAGAACAGAATCTCTGCCTGATAATTCAGAGAATTCTTTCAGATCTTCTCCAAAAGCATCAAGGCAGCACCTCTATGAGTTTACTAAAACCACAGCTTTACTGGGCTTGAGGTGACCCCTAAAGCAGATACAACTTAGATCAAAACAACCAGGCAATTAGGAATGTCTGGAAAGCCTTCCCAACAAGTATGGGTACCAACAAGCCCTGACTGCAAAGATCACAATAAATACTTACTCTTAAATGCCCAGACACAGGTGAGCGTCTACAAGTATTGAGACCATCCGGGAAAACTTGACCTCACCAAATGAACTAAATATGGAACCAGTGATGAATCCTGCAGAAACAGATATGTGACCTTTCAGATTTATAATTCAAAATAGTTGTGTTGAGGAAACTCAAGTAAGTGCAAGATGAAACAGAGAAGGAATTAATAACTCTATCAGATAAATTTAACAAACAGATTGAAATAATTACAAAGAATCAAGTAGAAATTCTGGAGCTGAAAAATGCAATTAGCATAGTGAAGAATGTATCCGAGTCTTTTAATAGCAGAATTAATCATGTAGAAGAAAGAATTAGTGAGCTTGAAGACGGAGTATTTGAAAATACATAGCAAGCGGAGACAAAAGAAAAAAGAATGAAAAACAGTGGAGTATGCCTGCAGGATACTTAAAATAGCCTCAAAGGGCAAATTTAAGAATTATTGGCCTTAAAAAGGAGAGGTAGAGAAAGAGAGGTAGAAAGTTTAGTCAAAGGAATAACAATAGGGAACTTCCTAAACCTGGAGAAAGATGTCAGTATCCAAGTACATGAAGTATAGTATACCAAGCGATTTAACCTAAAGAATACTACTTTAAGGCATTTAAAGGTTAAATTCCCAAAGGTCAGGGATCAAGAAAGGATCCAAAATGCAGCAAGAGAAAAGAAACAAGTAACATAAAATCCACCTCCAACACACCTAGTAGCAGACATTTCAGTGGAAACCTTAGAGGCCAGGTGAGAGTGACATGACATATTTAAAATGCTGAAGGAAATGACTTTTGCCCTACGATAGTATACTGGCTAAAATATCCTTCAAACATGTAGGAGAAATAAAGACTTTCCCAGACAAACAAAAGTTGAGGAATTTCAGGAATACCAGATGTGTCCTACAAAAAAATGCTAAAGGGGGTACTTCAATCATAAAAAAAATTAATGAGCACTAAGAAATCATCTGAAGGTTTAATACTTACTGGTAATAATAAATACACAGAAAAACAGAGAATATTTTAATACTGTTAACTGTGGTGTAAAAACTACCCTTAAGTAGAAAACTAAATGATGAAACAATCACAACTAATAACTACAAAAACTTTTCAATACAAACTGCATAATAACATATAAATAGAAAAAACTAAAAGTTAAAAAGTGGGGGGAATGAAGTTAAGGCATAGAGTTTTTATTAGCTTTCTGTTTTTTGTTTTTTTGTTTTTTTAATGAAAACAGTGTTAGGTTTTTATCAGCTTAAAGTAAAGGGTTATTAGATAGTATTTAGAAGCCTCATAGCAATCTCAAACCAAAAAACATACAATATATACACAAAAAAATAGAAAATGAGAAATAAAATTATATCAGAAGAGAAAATTATCTTTACTAATAGGAAACAGGAAAGAAAGAACAAAGGAAGGGAAGACCTCAAAACAACCCCCCAAAAATGGTAGGAGTAAGTCTTTACTTATCAATAATAGCATTGAATATAGATTAAACTCTCCAATCAAAAGACATAGACTGGCTGAATGTATGAATGAAAACAAGACCCATTGATCTGTTACCGACAAGAAACACACTTCACCTATAAAGACACACATAGACTTCAAAGAAATAAAGAGAGAAAAATATTCCATGCCAATGGAAACCAATAAAGTGTGGGGGAGATATCCTTATGTCAGACAAAATAGATTTCAAGATAAAACTATAAGAAAAGACAAAGAAGATCACCATATTACAAAGAAGATCATTATATTATGACAGGTCAATTCAGCAAAAAGCTGTAACAATTTTAAATATATATGAACCCAACACTGGAGCATTAAGATAAATAAACTAAATATTATTAGAGCCAAAGAGACAAATAGATTCCAATGTAATAACACCTGAAGACTTCAACAGCCCGCTTTCAACATTGAACAAATCTTCCAGGCAGAAAATCAACAAAGAAATATCGGACTTAGCCTGTGCTATAGAACAAATGGACCTAAGAGGTATTTATAGGGCATTTCCTCCAACAGCTGGTGAATACACATTCTTTTCCCCAGCACATGAATTACTGTCAAGGATAGACCATATGATAGGTCACAAAACAAGTCATAAAATATTCAAAAGAGTTGAAATAATATCAAGAATTTTTGACTATAATGAAATAAAACTAGAAATCAATAACAAGAGGAATTTTGGAAATGACAGATCCCTAGAAATTAAACAATATAGTCCTGAATGACAAATGGTTCAATGAAGAAATTAAAAAGAAAATTGAACAATTTATTGAAACAAATGATAATGAGAATTTAACATATCACAACCTATGGGATACAATGAAAGCAGTCTATGAGATAAATTTATATTTATAAGTGCCTACATCAAACAAAGAAGAAAAACTTCAAGTTAACAATTTATAATGAATCTTAACTCACAAAGCAAGAGAAAACCAAACCTAAAATTAATAGAAGAAAATAAATCATAAAATCAGAGAAATAAATGCAATTGGAGTAAATAAAACAATATAAAAGATCTGTGAGACCAAAAGTTGGTGTTTTGGAAAGTCAAAAAAAAAAAAAATGAATGAAAGAAATGAAAAATGATTAGCCAGACTAAGAAGAAAAGAGAGAAGATTCAACTTAATAAGATTAGAGATGAAAAAGGATACATTACAACGGATAATGCAGAATTTAAAAGGATAATTACTGTCTACTATGAGCAACTATATGCCAATAAATTGGAAAATCTAGAAGAAATGAACAAATTCATAGACACATACAATTTATGATGATTAAACCAGGAAGAAATCCAAAACCTGGATAGACTAATAACG